TATAATAAATGCTTTTATAAATATATACCGCAATCGTCGAATTTCTCAAAACAACCTTGCTTGAACAGTTATAAACGCATAGTTGATATCATATAAACAAATTTAGACCGACTTTTAACAGCACATATTTATGATTCCGCAAGATACACTGGGTTTGTTTTGATTATCCCAAGTATAAACACCACTTTTTTAGAATCGTAGAAATGAATATTATCACGCAGAACAAAACGAATTGTATTGATCTGACTGCTGTTTAAAAGTGTCATAAAAATATATTGTGTTAATGCAAAGCTAGTGTAAAAATTAAACGCCAAAGACATAGATGGATATGAATGGCCTTATGATGAGTATAAGTTTATGAAACGGGTCAATAAGAAATTAAAATTACGCATGTTGTCTTTTAAATGCGTGGAATTATAGGTAATGAATGATATACATGTATGAATTCTGGTGTTTCTAAAGATGCTAACAATCAATGACTCAATTTTGTGCTGTAAATACTGTAAAAATATTATTAGCACAACAGGACATGATAATGAGCTTGCCAATGTTCAACGTCTTTATATAAAAGGGATTGCCAAATATGCCTATTTGGTATTTGATATAACAGGTTGTTTAATAAAAGCTTTTTAAAGGCCAATGACATTTGCATAGAATATCACGATTGTAAGTAATGCAAAATACATGCGTCAATGTATCCGGTAGGATTTCACTTAAATGTAAAGCATTTCGCATTTAGAAATATTGTTAAAAGCTAGTCTTAGACTCAATAAATGTGCATCTTTTATAAAATCATTTACGTATTGAAGTCGGCAACAGTTGAATAAGATATTTGCCATAACGATATTTATGATGTGATTTGATACAACTTGCTTTTAATATTATTTATAATTATGAATATGCCCGTACCTTAATAAATTATTCAACGTACTTAACATTCCAGTTGGTTTATTGTTAAGCGACCAGCAATCGAACACAAAAAAAAACACTGTAAATAGTAATTTGTTTTACTATAATTGTCATAGATTAAATTTTTTACCATATCACAAGCAAAAACGAGTTAATTCTTTTCTCAGCAAAACTCAGCAAAAATAATACAGGAGAACGGGTTAATATTTCAAGTTCGTAATCATCAGCAAAATACGATCCAAACCTTTATCAGTATTTTCGTGGTTATGTAAACCGGTAAACCCTCTCTGTTAACCGAACATGTTGTTTTAGAAAGCAACTATTGTGTGTCTGATCTTTTTTTTATGACTGGCGGTGGATTATATGATTTTATAATTCCTTTTGGCAAAGTTTTGTAATAAAATGCGCGAATTCAAACAATTGATATTGACGTACATGCTGTAAACAAATATTAAGGAAAGTTCGTACAGACAAACAAACAAAAATAATCTTGCAATGACGTTCATAATAAACATCTATTAATGAACTATCCCATCTTATTTTACTTTTCAATGATGTGAAAAGCTATCATAAGACTTTTTCGAATATTCCCTAAAATATATGTACTGGTATGTAAATGCAATGCTTAGAATAGTATGATTATAAAAGATATGTCATATAGATGCGTATTGAATAACTATGTACACATTACGTTTATCATTATAATTTCTAAAACTCTTGCGTACCAACAGATCAAGTGACCTAATGAAAGCCGGCAATGTTCATAATGTGTTTGATTGTATACATCAATTTATCCTTATTACCATTATATACTGAAAAGTAAGTTAAGTACCTATTTCAGAGAAACTCTTTAACTTGTTTTACAATATATTTATTTGAAGAACATTATGAACAATATATTTCATGAGCGTAGCTATGAAATATGAAATTGTTGCTTCAATGTAAATATTCAGTCCTCATTCTCTTTTCTTTGAGAAACATATTTAACATTAACCGTCTGCATCAATTACCAAAGGGGTCTTATTCCAACAACGATGACATGACGACATGATAGAAATAGAATCCAATACCACTAATGAAATTGAAAATGACTTTCAGGCAATGTGCAATTAGAAAACAATTTGTCATTCTGTTTCATTGTGGCAGAACTTGTATTAGAGTTATGTGTCTTCGTAAATAGATAAAATTGCTTTTGGTCTAATCCAAGGATCACTACTTGCATTATAAGACGGCTGAATAAACTCAATTTTTGACCATGTGATAATTGGGCAGACACCCATTATCAGAATAAGTAAAGCCAACGACACATTAGGGAGAAATGTCCGTCTAAGGCAAAATGTACAAAGTGAACGGGCACGTTGAAACACAATGTGATAGTAAGATGAACCATCGCTATGCACATATTAGCTCATGAAATGGTTAGTCATTTACATAACACATTTGTTCATTATCAACGCTAGCACATCGCATTAGTGTTCTTAAGATTATCATTTTTCAGGAGCATGGAAACAAATGAAATACAAAACAAAGGAACAAATCATTTGGTAAATGTAAGATTAAAGCAAACGGAAAATCAAGTACATAGAGATAGAGGCCAATCATTGGGTAGTCGTAAAATTGTAGCAAACATATACAAAATATATGTTATAAAATAAATATAGATACCGACCTTTTTTTAATTATCAAATTGTTGTAAACATGTATTATCAAGACGTAGAGACCGACCATTGTGTAATTGTAACGTACATAAAAGTAGTGGCCAATCATTTTGTAACTGTCATAGTGTAGAAACAATAATAAGGTAGTGCATTAACTAATAGATCAATTAACTATTTTAATGATGACTGTGATGATTGAAGACTTACATTTACAGCCTAACATGATTAATCTTTAAACAGTTTTTGGATTTTTACATCAGAATCAATACAACTTTCGCAAAATTGAATTGGAGTAATGTAAATCATTTGTCATTCCTTTAAATGTCCATGATAACTCAAGCGCACTCAAAGTGATTGTAACATTTGAATTATAAATAGCATCATTATTGAAATGAAACGACATGCATTTGAAATAATATTTATCTGCAAGTAATCAGCAATTTGTCTCCAATTTAAAGAATTGTAAATGTAAAACCGACATTAAAAATGTTAATTGCATATTTAAATAGTTCTATTGTGTACATATAAGAAACACACACATTTGAACAATATCGTATGAAGTATAAAGACGCTCATTGAAACTTAAAACATTTTGGCATAAATGAAATTTATAATTGTAATATATGAACATGTGCAAGTTTCAAAAGTGAATACAGATACTGGAAAGTTATCTATATTTAAATTTCTCAAATATTAGTTTATTACAATGGAAACACAAAAGCAGGATCAGTATTAAGTCAAATGTTGGCAACTAAAACTACCGAGGCGATGATAAGTCAAAGCTTGTTATCAGTCTACACTGTTCATTTTTAGACAGTCTGTTGTAAAAATCCCTTTTATCTCAACTTGATGGAAAATTCGCTTGAAATGAAAATAATGACAAGCCTATTCAAGACTTTAAGCATGCTAATATTAAGCATGTTTAATGCATGCAAATTGTAAAAAGTTTAAAATCCAATTCAATAAATGTGTACAATGATTTATTTTCTTTCAAGTTTTCTTGCTTAAAGTATATTTTTTCTAGATATGATATTTAATTACGAAAAAAAATGACCTATTTATAAGATGAATTATGGGTAAAATGTACGAGTAAAGCTTCAGTGAACATCTTCTTTTTAGATGAAATATAAAAACGATATTTATGTTAATTAAAATACTATGTAATATTTATTTACATCAGAAAATAAAACGATTACTTTTATATATGCAAAAGATCGGCAAAATATCTGGCTTTTAATTCAAACTACTGCCATATACTAATGGAACTTTGCAAAAGCGTCAGCATTGGTCCTTTAATAACGTAATTTAAATAAAATCGGATTAAAACCACGCTCAACCTAAAAGATGCCATGTCTCCGAAACTGCTCATATCTGATAACAGTTTGATTCATGTTAATCATTAATTTTAAAATTTGCATTTAATACTTTTCGTAAACGATATGTTTGAAGTTTTCATGATGTTCTAATTAGATTGTAGTTTTTTTCGTTCCATGAATTATATTAATGTCTGAAATATGAAGAACTGAGGAGTCTTGGAAAATTACTATTGGCAGCAACATATTGGCCTTTTAATTAATCTTCTATAAATTAATGAATAATTAAATTTGTGTAAATAACAAACATTTCCTTTACATTAAAATTCAAAGGGTCTTTGATCACTTTTTTTGCTGTTCGTGCCATATCAAAATTTCTAAAGGTTTTGAAAAAAAAAAGATGAAGAAGAAGCTGAAAAAATCCTTTTGTTTCAAGATACAAATTTGTTAAATAATGAAATAATGTCACTTTCCACGGAGGACAGATGTATAACAGATACATTGAAATTAATTTCGCTAAGTGAAGCTTTTATTCTTAATTAATATGAAGATACAATAACGCACTACTGTCATTGTGTTTTTAAGTCTTCAAATATTTTATGTATTTTCAAATAACAATTTTCGTTAAACAAAAAGACATTCTCTCCAAGAAAAACAAAAACGAGAAGTTAATCTCGTAAAATTGTTCTAAATTATACTTTTATCGAGAGGAAACTTTCCTTTAAGTTATTAACTATTTCCACGAATTCCATACTTTATCCAGTGTAAAGATATTCTTATGGAAGTTGCAACTTAAAGAACTATAATAACATTTTTTTTGTAAAATGATCTGTTTTTTTGTTTGTTATAATAATTTTATATAATAATTATTAGATAAAATATTTAAAAGTTCGTAGAAATCCCAAACCTAGAAATGTGTTGCATTTTAGTCATAACAATTATAGCTATCTCCAAATTGACAGAAAAAAGTTTCTGTCAATTTGTTTCACAAAATATTATAGCTACTAAAATAAATGTTTCGAAGTAAAGAAAATTGATTTGCCGAAGGATTTAATATAACAAAAATAATTAAATAATATACTTTTATTATGTTATACTGACTATAATAAAAAGCACATACCCTTTGAAACGCAAAGTCAAATTATTCCGAATAAATTCTGAAGAAGAAACACTGTCTTCAACGACTTAGTTGTCGATGTCCCCAGTTAGATATTATGCCATTTTTTCGTTAGCACCAACCTTCTTATTGTACTCACGTAGGTCACGTGACAACTACCTTGCGATCACATGACATCTATAGCAACATCCTGAGTGCATAACACTAGATTTTTTCCCGTTAATTTGAATGTCAATATCTTTAACAGTAATGGAGAAAGGGAAATTACTGGAATCACAGACGAAACATCTGAAGTGTAATAATTTGATAAATGCTTGAACAATAGAGCTTGCCAAAGGTAAAACTATTTATCACAGAAAAATAAATTAGGTACGCCTCTGAAAAGAAGAACTGAATATTGGATTAGTGGTTGCGGGCGATGTAATACAAACCGATAGTTTAGAAATTGGATATGCTGTAAGTCAATCATTGAAAAGGAGAGGAGCAAAAATATTGGAAATAGATTTTTTTGCGCAATCCGGACAGATTGATTGATTTGAATAACATTTCATATTTCATTGAATTATTTGATTGTTGAATTTAATTTGTAGAGTTTCTCGTTGAATGAGAATAGAAGATAAATTTAAAAATAATTTGAACGATAATTGCATAAAATTAATAATAAATGAATTTTGTGATTGATGTATATCCAGCTAATTAAGTCTATCTCAAGTGAGAACATGATATGAGCCGCGTCACGACAAAACCAACATAGTGGGTTTGCGACCAGCATGGATCCAGACCAGCCTGCGCATCCGCGCAGTCTGATCAGGATCCATGCTGTTCGCTTATCAACCCTATTACAAGTAGCAAAACTGATAGCGAACATCATGGATCCTGATCAGACTGCGCGGACGCGCAGGCTGGTCTGGATCCATGCTGGTCGCAAACCCATTATGTTGGTTTTGTCGTGACGCGGCTCATATATATTAAACAAAACATAGAAAACGTATTCAAAAAATAAAAAAAACGGAATCACTGAATGAAAGAACACCAAAACCAGCAAACTTGAAAATGTTGCGAATAGGTTGATTAAGCCTGTTCGAGGACGGCTTTGGTAAGTGCAAACTTTGTCCAATACTCCCTAGCATCGGTTAGGATTACTTATGGAATCAAAAATAAATAGATTTACATTTATTTTGCACTGAAATTGAAATTTTAGGAACTTTGTTTTAAATCTAATAATATTAAATCCCTTTTTTCACATTTCAATTCACAGTTTGATGACACCAATCATTAAATAGGCGAGTTATATCAAAACCTTATAATTAATGGAATGCTTATAGACTGTTATTAAATGATGTGTAAGTTTTGATATGAAAATGTGTGCTGTAAAATTCACGTTTCAACTTTTTTACATATTATTGCTTGGGCGTTGAAAGAGTTTAAGGAAGTAAAATAAAATTGTTGAAAGTATAGAGCATAGCGTCTCAAGCACACAAAACAACATGAAATACTATAATTTAAAGTAGTTTGACAGATATTCATATACGTATTAACAACATTATGGATATCTGTTTGTGTGCTGTACATTTCATTTAGATGAAGATAAACTATTTTCATGATAACCAAATGTCGGTTAGGTAGGGCGAGTCAGAAAAAAAACGCAACACTAACTAAAAGCTCTTACTTAAAAGAAGCAGCGCTTCATTATATTGATGAAACATAAAAAACTGTTAGATATTCACTAAACGAACATTCATGGTTGTTTGTTCTCTTGAACGGCAACATCATCAAAACCTTATCGGTTCTCTTTTTATATAACAGTCGATTTGTTTTCAAGCGAAAACTATATAATACACTGCTAATAGATGTTCAAATTACATGTTGTCTTGGGTTATTTCTATCAAAGTCTGTTGCTCGGATTCCGTTCTATACAATACATGTTAAATATAAAGTTTTTTAAATGAATTATATTAACAACTGAAAAAGTCGATTAACTTTAACTAAAAAATAACCATAATGACTATTATTTTAAGTTTATTTCTTTATAAAGTTTATATATGTCAAGATAGTTGGTCAATTGTTTCGTAAATTATCTATCTTTACTAGTATTAATTACAATGTAAATAGTAATTGATAAAAAACATATGGTGTGCCGTGTGCGTTCCTTAGACTAATCGTTTTCCTCTATTCTAAAAGCATACAAGTATAACATTTACAATAACATTGCAACTAAAACAAACGGTATCAACACTACGAGTGAAGAATATGCATTGAAAAAGAAAACCTTAGTGAGAGTACGTTTTATTAGCGTTTGTGAACAAAAATGTCCTAAGGCATTTAATAAATTTCCCTTTTAAAAATTGGCTTTACTAGAAATTTTTCTTAATGGTACTTTAATGCTGTAAGACTTCTTCCCATGAAGCGAATTTATAAGCTTGTTGTCAAGTCACGTTCATGTTCAGGGAATTATGAATGATAGAGAAGTAAGATTAATCATGTTCAATATCAAGACATTTAACCATTATATTCAGTAATTATTTACACAGGTGAGTTACATATTCTATTAGGAATACAAAAAACTTATTGAAAAGATAATAAAATCAATAGCAACGTAAAAAAGACTGATGGTACTAAAGTTAGTAGAGTGGACATGTTTTATAACAATCACTCTTCTACCCATTTTGAGATATCTAATTTTTGATCAGCTCTAAGGACTAAAATATCCATTAAACAAATTTGCAGTCGGGTTAGTTTTCAAGTTCCTTAAAGTGTGGTAACTGATTTCCAATTTCTTTGCCACACTGATGCAAGCATAAGGCACTTGGATGTTCATTTATGTAGGTCTCCTTTTCATTTACCCTTTCATATTTTTTTGAATTGTTTAGAGGGGGTGGGGCGTGGGTTAGTAACATCGACACTATAAAAAGCACTGAAACCCAAGAATCGTATCACATTTGAGATACCGAACACCAGCTGTAAGTATTGTCCTTGATTGGGATATGATTCTTTGTTACCAATAAAAAATATTTATCTTCGACAATTCGCTGAGTTATTACATGCAAAAATAGAAAAGAAAAATATAACTCCCTGTAGCCATATTGATGGCATTATGATTCGAAAACCTGCAGCTAACTACATCTGTACACTTATCTTATCAATAATGTATACAATCAAAGAGCATAATTTGACATAAAGAGACATCTGTGCAGTATTCAATTACACTCCCACTGTTTTAGACAACTTTGATTGTGTCATGTGCAGTTATCCACGGACTGTCATGACAAACAATGATATATATTTATTTGGTAAAAACACAATCCGTTTCCTCATGGACGTGACCTGGCGCAGTCAATTGTGGTGTTCTGGAACGGTTTAGCTTTTAGGTTTCCCAAAGTCAAATTGAATGATGTATCCTCTTCAATTGTATGCGTATCGCGTATCAAATTAAGAAGCATTTATCAGGAACACGTTTGCAAACTCCTTCAATATTTTGATGACAGATCTTGAACTTTCCTTACAGCAGACAATTCAAACACATACCATTACAATATCGAATATAATGAGATAAATGTTTAAAAGTAAATCTAAAAATGCTGTATAATTCACGTATTTCCTGGTAGAAAGCAACGTTTTCAGAGCAAGGTATGAAGATAACTAATACATATTGGTTGTTACCGGATTATTTGGATAACTAACCAGTAATTATCAATTTCTCAGTAAATGACCGAATTTTAACCCAACATTATTTCAGATTCAGCGATGAGAGACAAATGAACATTAAACCCAATGTACATTATCTATCGCTATAGATAAATTTTGCCTTTCCTGTGTGAATCAAGCAAGCGACGCCTAGGTACTTGACCGATGCTCTGCCTTTTGAGCTACGCTTGCGCTCGTTTTTCAAATATGCACATAATGGTTTGTGTAATACATGTTATTTGAATTATAAGAACTACAAAAATTGTGAATACATGAAACTTTTATAAACAACATGTACTATTGTCTCTTAAGTACTATTGTACTAATATACATGTACCAGAACAGTGGTATTGTTATTGATATTAACATAAGGTAAACATATTTATTCATAGTTCTAATATCGATAGAGTCCAAATAAATAGAAATACTTCGGATGAGAATACGTTAGTCAGAAGACAGTTTTAGAAGAAAATTACTATATTAATATAGTCACGACCATGTCAAAACTTCTAAACAGGTTGCAATGTAAATCGATAAACAAAATATTGTGTTTAGATTTCTTGTTTTTGAATTGGTTGTTCCATGGACGATAACTCTTATTTTCGTTTATATAGTTACACAGATTACAAACTGACATAAATCGTATACTGTTTTGCATAAGATTTTAGCTCTTCTGTATAGAAGGTTAACCGAGCTTTGTCTTTTTAAAGGAATTAAGTAATTATTTATTTTATATAACAAGTAATTAATCGAACTATGCTGCAGTAAAGCCTAAAACTTCGCACTAGGCCACTTAACACGGAGCAAAGATATGCAAAAGATTTACAAAAATGTACTCAGAACTAAATTAAATACCTTTACAAGATTTATGTTGAGTTTGATCTGAGTTTACAAGCATTTGTGGGTCATTTTGCACAATAAAATTGATTATTCTGAGCGCTTAGATCATGTACATGATCTAAAATGCTGCACATTAGTTATAGGTCAAAGATATGGCATAATGTCGATCATGTCAAAAAACTTAGCAAAACACATCAATTTACATTAATATTGCTGTTACAATAAAAACCCTATATCTAAAAAAAAATAAATAAATAAATAAACTAATATATAAAATTGAGAAAATCGTGAATTCGACAGAAGATGAGTGTGAAATTTCAAACTTGATAAAAATAAATAATCATATCATAATTATTTAGAAAAAAAATCAAAACAATCTTAGAATTGAATTCTATTAAATAGTAGTTCTATTAAACACTAAAATATTTGAAGAGGAAAAAAACCGTGTTCAGATATTCAACCTGTAAAAAATCTAGAAAACATTGTAGAATTTTAGCAAACATTAGGTACATGTATGAAATGTAATGATTATCTACGCTGTGAGGTCAAGCAACCTGAAATGAGGCTGAAAGGAAATTGACTGTCAATCAAACAAAATGTAATACAATAATATTTGTTTCATCAGGACTTTTAAAATTT